AAAATAGGTATCATGGAGTGGGCGGTGGTAAAAATATGATTTAAAAAAACAAAAGAAGGAGGTGGTGGAATGATGGGTCAAAAAGGAGAATAAAAGCAACAGGGCACATGGGTTGGAAAGATTCTTACTAAACAATAATGAAGCTGGTCTGCCGACTACTTTATGAAAAAGAAGGTATAGGTGTGAGCGAAGTGCAAACTGGGAGCTGTATTCCCAAGTCTGGAAGCCAGATTTGTAGATGAGATAGTGAAGAGGCTCCCAATAGTTGAAGACCTCGTCGCAATCATGTATGATGTTCGATGTAGCGCTCTTGTACCTTAGCACACCTAGGGCCAACAGTGGGAAAGTCCAACCATGTTGATCTAGCTGGTAGTTGCAAGATTGAACAAAACTGCATCGAAGATCACGAGTCAAAAGACGAAGAAGATGCTGATGAAGGCACTATGATTCTCTTCAGGCAAGTACTGATTTGGTGAATACTGAGTCCATCTTCTCAATTGGAGATACATTGCAATCGGAAAAAGAAGGCCATGAAAACTCTGATACTCACTTTTCTGGTGAGTGTGCTGATGAATCTAGTGACCATACACCTCGTACCCCGCCTATTATTGTGAAGTCAAATTCTATGCCCAACATAGACTCCTCTGGTGAGCGTTCAGCTCTTAAATACTTGGAACCTCATTCTAAATCTTGTGAGGACCTTCCTGTTCTTGAGTTGAGGTGGAAGGAGATGGTAATTCATGAGGTAGGCACAGGGGTGATACATGACCGAGAAAGAAATGATACTGTTATGGATGAGGCAAATGCAGAGAAGCACCTTCACGGAGAGTCTTCAGCTCGCCGGAGGGAGGGATTTCCGAGCAATGATTTCAACATCTTGCAACTAGAGAAAGAAGAAATTCTCGCACCTCATACCCATTTCTGTATGATATGTGGAAAGGGATTCAAGAGAGATGCTAATTTAAGGATGCACATGAGAGGTCACGGGGATGAGTACAAAACTCCAGCAGCAAGAAATTTGGCAGCGGAGTGAAGGTATGTGTAGAGGTCCGGCGGGCGGCCAAAGCGAGACTGCCGCCCGCCGGTGAAGCAGAATGACTAAGTTGTTAACCTTGCTCTGATACCATGAAAAATTTATGTATTATTGATTGATATTGTTGATTCGTATATTACAAGATTGATGAATTACAATTCCTATACAATCTATATATAGAAGAAAATGTGGTAGTAGGTGTAGTGGAGGTGATAGTGGGTTAGGTGAAGTGGAGTGTGTGGTGAAGTGGAGGTAGGTGAAGTGGAGTGTGTAGTGGAGTAGGTGAAGGTAAAGATGGGAAATTCTAACATTTCCCATTTTTGATTGACCAGCTTTTGTTTTAGTTAACCAATGCCTTATCCAGAATGTGATAAATATATATTTCCCCCCTAATATTGTCTTTTCTCTTGATCAACTATTTATTTGTTAAAATATTTTGGCAGAAAAAATTAAATAAAGACACTAGAACTTGCTGAGCCTGACGTTAATACTTATCTGAAAGTTGAATTAAAATCACATGCTATTGAAATGGAGATAAATATACCTTAGTTTTCTTCGTTTCACTGTCAGGGTTCTGTGTCATTTCTTCTTGGGCTCTTCTTCATATTTGTTCGTTGGCCAATATTTGGTATAATCTTGGAGATATATGGCTGTATAGTTCTCTTTGGGTTAGTATTAGTCTTAACTTCTAACATGATGATTTCTTCTGTGTATATTATGTTAGGTTAATTACACCAAGACTTCTTCAACTATTAGCGAATACCAACTTACCCCCCCACATCTATGAATCCATATATTTTGACCCCTTAAACTATAAAAATGTATCACTTTCATTCCCTTCGACCACCTTCAAAAGGGGGGGGGGGATTTGTTCAGTTTATAGCTGCGGGGGTCAATATGTACATGTTCATATATGAGGGGTGAGGTGATATTTACTAATAGTTGAGGGGGACTTGGTTTTTTAGCCCTTGTTATGTTCCTAGACATCTAATATTTTTACATGTTCATGTAGTGGTTTTTGGCCATCTGTCAAGGCCTGTCTCTTTCAGATTCCAGTTCTTGGATGGGTTCTACAATATCCTGTTCTGGTGAGTTCTGCATTAGCTATTTCTATGTTTATGTCATGTTTATACTTGCCAACCCTTGGGCTATTTTTGTTTTGACAGAAGTCTCCTTCTATTACGTCATATATATTGTATGTGCAATATTATGACCAAGTTAGTTTAATTGTATATTTCTCAAGGGGAAATAAAATCTTGTTTAGAGAGGGGAGTAATGGCATAAACAGATGTCTCCTTGAAACACTAAGCAAAATATTACACATCTAAAACTACATGAATAAAGATTAGCCTCGCCTCCATTTCCATTGTTACTAAAATAGTAGATATGTTTGATATGAGTTTAGATTCCTCTGATTAGGACACCTATGTACCAGAGACCTGCCAAAACTTGATATACTTGTATATTTTTAAATTTAAAAAAAAAAAAAAATTATGGATGGAGGAAAACTTTTACTGGGGAAATTAACTTGTCAAATAAATAAATGGTTGGAAATATGAATTTGTTGCCACCAGCTACATCTTCAAGCTTTTAAATTAGTTTCTTTTGAAAGAAATGTAACAAAGGTGTGATGATTTTCTGCATTTTGTTCTGGTTAGCTATATTTGGATGAAAATTTCTTGTAAAGGAAATGCTTCATGGGTTACATTTTCCAAATGTCCAATTTTCCATCAATTTAGGGACTTCATGTTACCTCACCTAGGTGATGGTTACAATATACATCTATAACAAGTTGAGCGTTTTAAATTTAATGTCACAATTGTTGTGCCAATCTATAACTGATGATGTTTTACAATTTCAGCTTCTTGATCGTATGAGGAGCTAGCTTTGGTTGATCGTAGTAATATTTTGGGCTGAATCAAATATTGGGATGGTAATATGCTGTTCATCCCCTGCTTTTATCCGGTTGCACAGTTTACGAAGAATTAAAATAGAAAGTAGTGAAAGCATGCATACTTGTTCTCATGATTTTATACATTGTTTGGGTTGACAGTGGAAGTAGTTGTTAATACCCAGAATTGGGATCATATGATGTTTTTGATGTTCAACCTTCTTATCAGATTCATGTTTGGGAACACTAACTAGTGTAAATAGTAGTTTAGTTGATCTGATAACTCATGCAATGCCATCTCTTTGTGTGCTACATTTCATTTTGCATTTGACAATCTCATGTTTACTGAATGAATGTAATAACATCTATTGTTGTTGTGCTACATGTTATGTCTATCTAAATATTCAATGGAAGGAAATAATCATGGGTAAATTAGTGGGAAGTTTCACAGCATGAACTTTAGTCTCATGATTTTTCTGTTAACTTCTAATATCCCACACACCAAGGCACTGACCAACGAAATGCCATAGCCTCTAACTCTGAGAAAAACTCCCCTCGATCCCCGTTCCGCACCGGGCCATACACTCCTGTGAACACCCAATGGAATTGATCCGCCACACACTGAAACAGAGAAGACACTGAAAAGCAGCCTAATTCCTCCTCTTCCTTCACAACACCCTCGAATCCCAATAGATCAGTACACCACCCGCCATGTCCACTGTCAGCAAATGTAGCCATTCTACAAATCTGCCTCTCCAAATTTCACGCACCACTTCTATACCCAACACCTCCATCTTTGTCTCCTGTAAGCACACCACATCAGCTTTCGTACTTCGCAAGACGACCTTCACTACTACCCTTCAATCCCCGCACATTCCAGGACAAAATTTTTAACTTCATTTCAACAACAAAGGATCCCTCCGACATCTCCGTGAATCACGATCAACCCTTGCTCCACCCTGTTCATAATTGATGGAATGCACTAAGTTCCTTAACTCCCATTTCCTTTTACAACTAGTATCTGCCACTATAACCACTTCTTTACTAGGAGACCCTTTTCGCCACGACGCCTCCACTGCTGAAAATAAACGTAAGGCTTCCTCATCATGTCCTTTGAACAACAGACCCAACAAACTCCCTTCTCCCCAATCAAAACCCTTTCCATAATCCACAACAATGAGAACCCATCACCGATCCTGACCTCCATTCCCCCTGAGTTACCCTATACTTAACAGCCACCACCTTTCTCCACAATCGCTCCGTCTCCCAAGCAAAGTGCCATAGCCATTCCCCAACAACGCTCTATTAAAAGTCACCAAACTCCTTATCCCCAAACCCCCTACCACTTTCGATTGACAAATTCGCCACCAATCAACCAGGTGATAACTATAATCATCACCCCTACTACCTCACAGGAAATCTCTTTGTAACTTCTCAATCCGTCGTGCCACAGACGCCGGAATAACATGCACAGGCATAAAGTATGTCGGGATACTGCTCAATACACTTTTGACCAAAGTCAACCTTCCCCCTTTCGAAAGATATTGCCTCTTCCAATCTGTCAACCGTCGTTGAATCCGCTCCACAACCTGTCCCATACCTCTTTAGCCTTAAACGACGCCCCCAATGGCAAACCCAAATAAGTCACTGGCAAAATGGACACCTTACAACCCAACACCGCCGCTAGCACCGGCAAGTCGTCCACCTTACTCACTGGAATCAGCTTACACTTCCTCAAATTCACCCCGAAGGCCTGAGACAGCCTCGAAACACAACAAAACACACCTCAAGTAACCCAACTGTTCCGCCACCGCCCCACAGAAGATTAGCGCATCATCTACATACAACAAATGGGAAACACTCATAGATGCTCTTGTGGGAGACTCCACCACAAAACCTTCCAGCAAACCTTCATGACCTGCTCTTTCCAACAATTTGTTCAATGCTTCCATCACTAAAATAAACAAAAGTGGCGACAGAGGGTCTCCCTGACGAAGACCTCGATACGTCTGAAAGAACCCCGCTGGAGTACCATTAATCATAATTGACAGCTGCACAGTAGAAATACAGAACTGAATCCAGCGACACTCAGTTTTCCCAAAACCCATACGATCCAAAACATACAAGAGAAACTCTCACCGCACATTGTCGTAGGCCTTCTCTATGTCCAACTTACAAATCACACCAAATTGCCCTTGCCTAATCCGAGAATCCACACGCTCATTAGCTACCAAGACTGCATCTAAAATCTGGTCGTTGACGGTGGCGTGTGTGATATTTGGTCTTTTTTTGTTTGATGTGGCTAGTTTGGTTGGAACGTAATAGGTGCACATTTCAAGAGATTCATCGCAGTGTTAGTTGGCTTGGGAGTTGTCTTCTGATTGTTTTGTATAGTTGGTTAGAGATAAAAACTGATCTGGATATGTTTGGTTTCTTAGAGTTTTTGGATGAGGTTATATGTTAGAGGGTGTGTTTTGTCTCCTTTGGAGTTCTTGTAATCATCTTGATACTTTCTCAATAAAGTCTACATACTTATTTATCAAAATAAATAAATAAATAAATAAAGTTTGGAAGCTTAAGTCCCATTTTAAAAATTCTAACAATTTTTTTGGACTGTTTTGCCTCTATTTTTGTATGGTCATTTGTTGAAAATGTGATATGCGCACCATAGGCAATCTGACGTGGCAAACTGTTTATTTATTTATTTACTTTTTATGTTTCAAACTTTAAAATCTCATAAATTTCATTGTACATGTACCTTTTTTTTTTTTTTTTTAAATTTTTATTTGTTTAATCTATTTGTGGAGCTCTGGCAAACAATATTCGTATTAAACATGAACATTTCACAATTCTGAGTTTAGAACTATGGGATTTTACTTTTCCAAACTATGAAATTTTACAGTTTTAATTTTTCAAACTAAAAAAATTTACAATTTTAATTTCTATTATTATGAAATTTCACACTTTGAAAATTATTTTCCAAATTAAAATTTCACAGTTTTTTTTATGTTCAAAACTGAAATTTTATCTTGAAAACCAAGACAGTTCACATTCATTGTTTCTAAAACTGTGAAATTTCACAATTTTAAAATGGATACAATTTCAATAATGAACACATGAGAAATGGGACTTGTAAAATTAGTAAAAAAATAAAAACTGAAAACAAATAAAAAAAAATAAAAACTGAAAAAAAATAAAAATAAAAAATAAAAAAAATTATTGTATTCCATGGTATATATAAAGGTTGAGTTCATCAGCAATATGGCTGAAATAGCCCGCAAATCAACCCAATCAAAACCTCAAGTGGAAGAATTGGCCAAAATTATTAGGTACAACAAGGATATTTTGAAAAGGTGGTTAAAAATTATTTTTTTAATTTCTTAAACTTTTATCACATGTAAGAAGTGATGTGACTTAAAATAAATTAAAAGTTAACTTTTGACTTTTAAGTTATGTTTCTAAAATAGTCCCAAATCAAAGGGTAAAATAGGCATTATAACTTAAATATGACACCATAAATTATTTATTTATTTTCATATGAGTAACTAATACTTTAACAAAATGATAGGCGAATTAAACCTTAAAATGGATCATTGTGCAACTTTGCCATATTCATTTTGTTTGATTCTAATTTTTTGAATTTAATTCTTTAAGAATTGAGTTTTTATTTTTATTTTTATTGAATTCTTTTAATATTTTAAATATATATTTTAAAATTTTTAGATACACTTACGCTGTATTTGATTAGGAGATTTGGAAAGGAATTTAGAAATAAAAAGAAAAAATGCGTAAAATGTGAATAAAATAATTTACATTTCACTTAGTTTCATACACCTTTTCCTTTTCTCTTTCCAAATCTTTTCCTAAATTCCCCAACCAAACACTTTGTTAATATAAATATAATTAAAAATTATAATATTTGTAATTTTTTATTAAAAAAATTTCACTAAATACTAAAAACACAAAATATATTAAAAAAATTTTTTATTAAAAACAAAAAAATGAAAAAAAAATTATAAAATTGAATTAAAAAATTGCAAATTATTCACTTTATTTGGT